CATTGATATCTGCTCCAAAAAATTGTCAATCTTCCTTGGACCAGCCCAGACCAGAGAATGAGAACTTCAATCACTAGCTACGTAAATTAAAACATGCTTACTTTTCTTTTTCTACTGCTCTGACACTGTTAGAGATCCCTGTTCTACTTGTAGGTACACTATCAATCCAATATAAGCATTCCCTGGGACCCTTATGTGTGCTATGGTGTTGATTTTGTCTTCAAGGCGAAAGGCTGGCACAGAGAACAAACCCAGCCCCACAAGCACATTCAAACCTCTGCTTGCATCATCTCTGCCAACACCCCATTGGTCTCATGGCCCAGTGCAATATCAATACAGCAGAACAGAGTACCTCTCCCAAGTGAAGAGAGTAAATATTTGCTGTACAGTAATTCAATATACAAGTCACAAATGCCAATTCCAATCACAAGACTCTGGGGTTAGATACCAAAAGAGAGGGACTTGTTTCAAAAGTTAGGTCCTTGCCTACTAGTCAATTCATATAGGAGTTCCGTGGGACCCAAGAGGGTCCTGTGATGCAACTGTTTAAGGGCATGTAACAACAAAAGAAAGATTTAGTTCACTTGTCTCCTCACTGGCCACTTTCTTTCCCCTCTGTTAAAGAAACTAACAGCCAGGGATCTTCAATCAAGGCAACATGCAGGAAGTGTTATCACCTCTTTGTCTCCATTGCTTTCTTCCAAATCTCCTTTCCTTCCATGTGAGAACCTCTCAAGCAGGTACCTTGCAGCAGCCCCATCTCCAGAATTCAGGAGTTCAGCAACCACGAATGCTGTGATGGTTAATGTTATGTGTCAGTTTGGCTATGATTCTCAGTAGACAATCTTTGGCAGACATTGAATTCTATAAGTAATCTACTCCATGATGTCATCAGCCAATCAAATGAAAAGAGAGTTTCTTTAGGGGTGTGACCCACCTTCAGTATATAAATAGGTATTTTGAAGTCTCGTTCTTGACCTCTTCTTATCACCTGGCCTCCAGATTTGGGGCTGTAAGCCTGCAGGAAGTCTTCAGTCTCAGGCATAGCCTGTAGACTTTGGATTCACCAGCTCTCACAACCTGTGAATCAGCAGAAACCTCTAGCCTGCGAATTAACCTGCAGATTTGAGGTTTAGCAGCCCTGCAACCATATGAGCCAGCAAAGAGTCTTCAGACAACCACCTGACCCACAGATTTGAGATTTGCCAGATCCTACAATTCCAGGAACTCTCCCGTAGTGATTTCTAAAGTTCCAGGATAATTGGATAAGATGTACTCAGCAACTGGAAGAAATTCCACACCGGATCCCTGACATGTTGAGTAAAGGCTATTATGGTAAGACAAGTCAAATGGGAGCCTTTAAAATTATCTAAGAAAGTAGTAACCACAGAAAAGCAGACTCTCACCTCTGGTTGGATCACACAACTATCAAGGACTTAAAAGGTAGAAAGGTAGTGATTTCTGCCACATCCCCAATCAACAACTTATCTATTTGTGCAGAAAACTGTCTTTGAGAAGACAGTAGATCATCATAAACTTAACCAGATGGTGACTCTGATTGCTGTGGCTGTTGTAGTATAATTTCATTGCTTGAATAAATTAATACATCTCCTGGAACCTGGAATGCAGCTATTGATCTAACACTTTTTTTCCTCAGTATTTTTTTCTAAAAACTATAAGAAGCAGTTTGCTTTCAGTTAACAAGGCCAACTAATATATCTTTATTGTTTTACCCCAGAGGTATATCACCTCTCCAGTCCTATGTCAAAATTCACCCCACACACATCTTAATTACCTTTCCCTAACTAAGGTACGTCTGATACAGGCCATGGTCTTTGCTATCACCTGTTATGCATCAGAGAGTTGGACAATGACTAAGGAGGATAGAAGGAGAATTGAGCTGTGGTGCTGGATAAGAGTATTGAGGGTACCATGGACTGCTAGAAAAACAAACAGATTCATCCTGGAAAGGGTTAAACCTGGTGGCTCCTTGGAGGCAAGGATTCTGAGGCTCCGTCTAACATACTTTGGACATGTTGTAAGGAGGGACCAGTCCTTGGAGAGGGACATCATGCTTGGTAGGGTGGAGGGACAGCACAGGAGCCCTCTATGAGGTGGATTTGAGTCAGTTCTAATTTGCCAGCAATGAGTTGTTGAATTGACCAGACATTACACACATCCGTTATACTGATGAAATCTTGCTGATTGGACCTGCTAAGGAAGAAGTATCAACAACTAGACTTAATGGCAAGACAGTGGCATGCCAGAGGGAAATAAATTAACCCAGTGAAAATTCAAACACTTTAGTAAAATTTGTAAGGTACAATGTTTATGGGGCATATCAAAATAATCCTTATAAAATGGAGGGTGAATTGTTGGTTTTGGGCCCTCCTACAACTGAAAAGAAGGTACAGCATTTGGTGGGATTTTGTAGGTAACATATAGCTCATTTGGATGTGGGTAGTAGAAGGAGATCATTTTAAATACTATGTGACCAGTTGCAGAAATTAGGATTGTAATTGTAATAAGTATTTCTTACTATGTTTCTATGTAAATAAAATATGTTGGTTTTCTTCTTTCTTGTGCCAAATTCAATATGTAGAAGGAGCTCTTACATTTTTGGTTGTATGCATGTTAGGTGCATCATGTTAGGCATAAGTATGTTTTTATGATTGTCTTTATTTGGAGATTATGCACAGTTTAGGGAGATGTGTACAGCTGCAAAACAAACAAAGGATAGACTGTGATTGTGAAGGTTATGTGTCAATTTGATGAGATGATGATTCTCACTGGTGTGGCAGATTTTGGACTGATTGTCCTTCTATAATGTAATCACTTATGATGTGATCTGAGGTGACTAGCCAGTCTGCTGAAAGGAGAGCTTCCTTAGAGGGCTTGTCCTCTTTCTGACTGTAAGTTTGTGGTCTTCAGTCTGCTACCTGACCTGAAGATTTGAATTCACCAGCCCCTGCAACTTGGTGAGCCAGCAGAGACCTTTAGACCATCATTTGACTTGCAGATCTGGAGTTTATCAGTCCTTGAAATCCCATAAGCCAACCACTTGATCCCTGGATTTGGGACTTCCCAGCCCTCACATTTGGAATCAGGAGTGACATCCACTTCCTAAACAACATGCCTCTGGTGACTCTATGAACTTTGATAAATGATGATAGTTATAGAAAGGCTTCAGGCCTTTTCTTCATAGGGTTGCTAGAAGTTGTGCTCGACTTGAGGACAATTAACAACAGCCCCCACAATTTTGTGGACCATTTCCTTGAAGTAAATCTTTCTCCTTGTGTGCTTTTGCACATACTTCATTTACTTTGCTCCTCTAGGGAACCTAGATGAAGACAGATGGCATTAGGATAGCCATGATGGCCCTGGAGCATGCTTTTAGCCTTGGGGAGATCAGATTGACCAGCTTATCTCACAAGGTGACTTGTCAGGAGAGTCTGGGGCACAGCTCATAAAAAATCATTGTCAAAAGTTTGGCAACCCTCATACTTGGAGACAAAAACCAGTGTCCCAGAGCCAGTGTGGGAGGCAGAACAATACCTCCACCCAAAAGATATTTCACGTCCTCATCTCCAAATTTGTCAATTTCCAACTATGGGAAGCCAATACTAAATATTTGTAATAAACTGAATGCTATTTCAGGATGGAATTCACCCTGAGGTACCAAGGCAATCCTTAAGGGTTTACCAGATTCTTACATTTGCTGACCCCTCCCTCTTGAGTCAAGGGGAAGGTTTTCAATAGTAAGTGCTTGGCTTCATTTGCACGAATTCTCTTGGTGATTTGCTTCCTGATAATTTTCAATAAAGATACAAGGAAGCTGGAATAGGGGGGTCTTCAGTCGGAGAACTGCTGGCCCCCTGTTTTTTTTATGCTCTCTGTTCTATCTCATTCTTGGTTGTCTGTCTCATTATTAATAATTATAATAATACTTTACCCTCGGTCTGCAACACCTGGCATTGCATTAAGGACTGTGAACAGATGATTACAGTAAGGATCTTAAAAGTGAAAATATTATCCTGGATTATCTGTGTTGGTCCAAGGCAGTCACAAGGGGTACAATGACTGCAGGAGGGAAGCTGAAGCGTTAGAGGGGATGTGTTGATGCAAAGGGTAGAGCAGACCTTAAAGTGATGCAAGGAAGGGGACCACAAGTCAAGGAATGTGGGCAGCCTCTAGAAGCTGGAAAACTTTAAGAAATGAATTTCTCCCCTAAAGCCTTTAGAAGAAATGAAAGCCTGCTGAGCTAGAACTGTGTGTGGCCGCTTGTTACAGTAACTACAGGGAATGAATGCAGCTCACATTAGTTTAGGGCAGTTAGAGAACCTGAAGCACTGGACCCCATTCTCTTCTCATCACTGATCTCGGGAGGGCCTGTGCTTGCTCCTTTCTCGCTTCCCTTCACCAAGAAAGCAAACAGACACTTGTGAGTTCGCTGGAAAAGAAAGCAAACATGTTGATGAGGTCCTTGGCGTTCTTAGATTTTATTTAAATATTTATCTCGTGAATTTTGAGGTTTCCCTTTCTAACCAGAACAGAGATCCAGCTGTCCCAGACACTGGCAATATACATTTGAGGTCTCCTGGGAATTGAAGGCAGAAGCCATGGTGGAGCAGTGCTTAGAGAATCTGGCTGCAAACCAAAAAGCTGGCGGTTCAAACTCACCAGCCCCTCCACAGAATGATGAAGCAGTCAGCTTCCACAGGATGCAGAGCCTTGGAACTCTATGAGCAGTTCTACATGGTCCTACAGGGCTGCTATGTGTTGGATTTGACTTGATCCAGTGGGTCTGATTGTTTTTATTAAACTGCAGAGTCAAAAGGACATCATCCAGTTCAACCTACCCATTTGCCAACTGAAGAAACTATGACTGTCGAGAGAGTGGGTGTCAGGGAGTGGGAAAGGTGAGTGGGTCAAAGTGGACTTTGCTGGAGCTGCCTCCCAGCCCCTGCCTCTGGTCCAGGTCCTGCTCTGACTCTCCTTTTTCAGGGCTGCTGTTGGTACTGGCTCTCTGTGGCTGTGTAGAAGTCGTCGAGCACACTCTGGATATATTCAAAGGTGGGCCGCTCCTCCGGGTGGTTCTTCCAGCAGCGTGTCATGATGCTGTAAAGCTCTTCTGGACAGTGCTCGGGCCGAGGCATCCGGTAGCCACGCTCTAGCGCCCGGATCACCTCCGGATTTGACATTCCTGAGATGGGGGTGTCGGGAAAGATACTGTTGTTTCACCAACAGCCACCACCCCTCTCCACCCCCAGCTTGGCAGCTGAGCCAGACTCTCGTTTTCCCAGCCTCCCTTGCAGCATGGGCATGGACATACGACCTGAGTGGGGGACCCAATTTGGCAATGGGAGCTGAGAGGAAGTTGACCGAGGCATCTCAAGGAAAGGTTTTCCTCCCTGATCAAGGAGGGGCTTTGGAATTGAGTTTATGTTATGATGGTGGAATCATTAGGAAAAGGATAGGTGGCATGGCTGTACAACTTGAAGAATGTAATCAGTGTCACTGAATAGTATACATAGAAAGTAGGAAATTGGTATAAGCTTGGTTGTGTATAACTTACAACTTACCACGCACACATACAAAAGTCAGGAGAGAAAGGAAAAAACCCAACCCAAAAACTTGAGGAAACATCTTTCCCTCCTTCCTTCTTTCTTTCCTTCCTTCCTTCCTTCCTTCCTCCCTCCCTCCCGTCCTTCCCTCCTTTCTTCCTTCTTTCCAACACTGTGAGAGGATATAATACTTGAGCTGCAGCAACATCTGACCTCATGGGAACAACAATTACAGGGAAACTAACTCAGAGTCCCAGTAGTCGTTGAGCTGTTGAACTAACTAGCCACTTGTGGGGACTTATTATTATGGAGAATAGTAAACTACCTATTGTTTCAGCCATTCTTACTCTGTTGTTTTGTTACTCATAGATGAATGCTTTGTCAGGAACACGTGGCTTCATTACTCATTGCCTGCTTGTGCACTGGTTTTATTCTCAAGACAAAATAGCTGACCATGCTCAGTGTGCCTTTGAGTTGGGACTATATCCTCACTCAATATAAGTTCATGTATGTTTACCATGCTAACAACCATTTACACGTCTATAATCCTGTTTTATATGATTCTATGATCAACCTTGAACTCCAAACTTATGTATCCAGGTGTGTCCTTGAACATCTCCATGTGGATGTCTATGAGCCTGTATGTCTCTGTAACATGGCTACAACAGAACTCTACAGTAGAACTCTTACAGTAGAACTCCTAGATCACCATTCATCAATTGCTCGATTAAAAGAAATAAAAATCAAGAGAATTATTCTTGACTCTTTTCTTTGCTTCATCTCTCACATCAGCAAGCCATATCCTTTCTTCTTTAGAAATGTATCGCCAACTCACCAACTTATGTGTTGTCACCATGACCATCCCATCCAAGCTTCCACTCACTTCTCAGGCCACTGCATCAGATGCCCCATGGGACCACCATCCTTGTCCCTAATTCATTCTCCACCCTGAACTAGAGCATCATTTTAAATCAGATGATGCCACTTTGCTACCTAAAAAGCTTCCAGTGACTTTTCATGTATTTAGACTAACATTGATGTGCCAGCAATGACCAGAGGTGGAACCTGCATGGTCTGGCTCCTGCTGCCCTCATCACCTACACTCATTTACTTGAGCCCAGCTCACCGGTCTCCTGGCTATTCTACAGACACCCTGCAGGTCCTATGAGATAGTAGAATCTTCTAACAGAAAATATGCAGATATATATAGAGATAGAGATATATAGATAGATATAGATGATATAGATATAGATATAGATATAGATACAGATATAGATACAGATATGGATATATAGATACATACATCTCTCTCTCTCTTTTTCCCTTTCTCTCCTCCTCTCTCTCTCTCGTTTACTGTCAAATCAGATCCAACTAGCACAGGAGGAGATTGCCCCTCCTTCTCCGCCGGAGCATCTGATGGATTTGAACCGTGTGCTTTTAGTATTGCAGTGCAGCTTCTGGCCACTAGGCCACCAGAGCGCCCTCATCCAGCTATTTTTTCAGCTTAAATATAAGCTTCTTGGGCACACTGGTGGCCTAGCAGTAAGGAGTTGAGCTGCCAATGCAAAGGCACATGGTTTGAACCCACCAGCTGCTCTGAGGGACAAAGATAAGCACTTTGCTCCTGTAAGATTCACTGCCTCTGAAAAGCCTTTGGACGGTCAGCTATGGCTTGGTTTTGACTCAACGGTCCACCACCACCACAACAACAACAACAACAATAACTTCCCAGACAGGGCTCTCTGTAGAATGCTGGCCATGCCTGTCACATTCCCCTGTTTTATTTTCTTTTCCCAGCAGTTCTGTCCATCTAAGAGTGTTTGTTTACTATGTGACTGTCTTAGCCAGCACATAAATTCCTTATGAACATGAGCTCGTCACGAGCTGTCCTTGGTGCCTGACACACAGTAGGGAATTCAGTAAATACTGTTGAACGAACCAAGCGTTGACTTCTTTTCTTTCTGATCCTCACAAAAATCTCTGCAAGGAGGCTGTAACAGCCTCCAGTATTTACAGAGGAGCGCTGGTGGTGCAGCTCACAGCGAGCTGCACTGCTGACTTAGAGGCTGCACATTATTTGCAGGTGAGAATACTGGGATATGGGAGTAAAATGAGTTTGTCAGGATGTGATACTGTAAAACCTGTAAAATCCAGAAGCAGTGTAAGGTTTTTACACAATGATCAAAGAAGGAAAACAGCTCATTTCCAGTAAAATGAGTGACAGGAAAATAAGTGGTAAGACTGCACCCTATCAAAGGTAGAGAACTTTCAAGACCCAGAAAAATGAGCTAGACTCATCAAGTTCTGGGTTTCATATGAGTCATTTTATGGTAATTAATGAAGACAGGACTCAAAAGCCAGGGACTCTTTACATTGGCCTTTTCCCTCCTCTGAAGGGCTCTGGCTATAGATACCTCAGGAAACATTCTAACTAACAAGGGGACAGAGAACACTATTTATTGAGTCCTAGCCATTCTATGTGCTGGGTGCATTTTTATATTCCCATCATATTATACTCAGTGAAGGGCACTGCTTGTAGATATGAGACTAAATGAGGCCACTCAACAAATAGTTACCAAATTCTTGCCATATTTCAAAGGTAGGCACTATGGCTATGCTGGTGACAAAAAGAAATATGATTTCATATTATCATGAGCCTTACAGAGGTCAGAGTCGGATAGGAAAAATATTCAGTAAATATATACTATAAATGCATAATTATACATTATGCCAAATGCAATGAGTGGAGCATCATCGGCTGTGATGAAGGGGGGTAATCAGAGAGAGATATGGCACTTTAGACGACAGGGTGATAGGGGACTAAATAAAATGAAAGTGGAAAGGCAGGTGGGAGCAAGATCAGAAAGGACCTGCAAGCCATGATTAGGTGTTTGAGATTCTAGCCTAATTATAATGTGAGATCATTAAAGAGAGGGGTGTGAGCATCATTAAAGACTTAGAGGTAGAAAAGAGACAAGATGGAGTTCACGGCTTCTAAAGAGCCTTTTGGTTGCATAAGAAGAATACTTAGTGGGAGAGACATGAGAAAGCAGGGAGACCAGCCAAGGAGACCAGCACCAGCCAGATGAAAGATGTTGTGGACGTGGATGTGGTGGTTGCTATGAAGTTATTAGCTGGCAGATTTGGGATTTTTTTTTTTCTTCTCTTGTGTACCATTGATCAGATCCGACTGACACAGGAGGAGATTGTCCCTCCTCCAGTGGAGCATCTGGTGGATTTGAATCGCGTGCCTTCAGGATTGCAGCGCCGCTTCTTGTCACTAGGCCACCAGAGCTCCCGGATTTGGGATATGTTTGACATGGAATGGACAGGGCTCTGTGTGAGCGTTTGGGTGTTGGGGTGAAGAAGAGGGAAGGGCCAAGGAAGCCTCCAGTTTTCAGCTTAAGCAATTGAGTGGGTAGGATCTTCCTCTTCAACTGAGGGGGTTGGGGAAGAGAGGTAGAGGAAGAGGATCAAGAGCTCAATCTGAGTGATGAACACATTGACAGGAGGAGATGGCCAGGCTAGACCCTCCAAGCATCCCCAGGTTACATCTCTCTTTCCTACCTGGATAAGGGATCCTGCCATAGGTGACGATCTCCATCAGCAGGATACCAAAGGACCAGACATCAGACTTGATGGTGAAGGAGCCAAAATTGATAGCTTCTGGAGCTGTCCACTTGATAGGGAACTTGGCCCCTGTAGGGTTGGACAGAGTGGAATCAGGGGAGATCTGAGGCACAATCAGGCTCAGGGAGGGGCAACAGTTGCCCAAATCTGTGCTCTGCAGAACTACAGGTATCACTGCAGATTCAAGGAGCTTGCTTCCCTCCTGATGATAGAAGGCTAAAGATGAGTGGGAGTGAAGAGAACATTCTTTTTGTTGTTTTTGTGTGCCATCGAATCAGATCCAACTGGCACAGGAGGAGATTGCCCCTCCTTCTCCAGTGGAGCATCTGATGGATTCGAACTGTGTGCCTTCGGGGTTGCAGTGCAGCTTCTTGCCACTAGGCCACCAGAGCTCCCTGAGAACATTCTTTTTTAAAAAATTATTTTAATAATTTTAATGAACATTTACAGAGATTTTGGATTTCCATTAATTCATTGTTGTACTTTTCTCCCTGTCCAGCCCTCGCCCCCAGTTCACTCCTCTCTTTGAAAAGTAAAAGAAAAATTCTTTCATTGGTATACAATCCACCTGCAACCCCCCACTGACCCATGTACCCTCCACTATGCAACCTTAATTCTGGAATCTCGTAATAACCATAATACCCTATCATATATCACTTTTAAATTGTTCTCTCCCTCATCTGTTTCAATGCAGTATACATAATTTATCCAGTTTTTCTCAGTCTTACCAACCCTGATGTCAGTCCCATTCTACAACAGTGGCACCATTCAGTATTTGTCCCTTTGTGACTGAGATATTTTACTCAGCATAATGTCCTCCAGGGTCACCCATTTTGAATAATAATGCATGAGTTCCTTGCTTTTCAATGCAGCGTAGTATTCCATTGTGTGAATATCACAGCTTCTCTATCCATTCGTTCGTTTGTTGATGGGCACTTGGGTTGTTTCCAACTCCTTGCTATTCTTATAACTTCAAAAGGAAAACCTCCGACCCATTAGAAGTCACTTTCATTCTTTCCACGCCCTGTAGCTCCTGACAACCACTCACTTATTTTCTGTCTGTAAAAATCTCCTTGCTGGGAATCAGTCTGTCCTCACCCGTTCATAGTCTATTATGAGTGTCTAATAAACCTCAGTTTCTTTCTCTTGAAAAAAAACCAAAAAAGTCTCCTTGCTGGGGAGGCAATTCTGACTCATATTGGCCCTATTAGCACAGAGTTAGAACTGACTCCACAGGGTCCCCAAAGCTGTAAGTCTTTACAGGTGCAGACTGTTATATCTTTCTTTTGTACAGAGACGGGTGGGTTTGAACTGCTAACCTTTTTGTTAACAGACAAGCACTGGCCCATTAGATCACCTTTCTGTTTCTATACATTTGCACATAAATAAGACCGTGTACTATGGGATCTTTAGTGACTGACTTCCTTTACTTCAAACTCGAAAACTTAAACTCATAGTGACATTCTGGCCGGTCTCCAAGGGTGTAAATCACAGTGGAGGAGATGGCCCAGCTTTTCCCTATAGAGTCCCCTCTGGTGTATTCGAACCTCTGGACATGCGCAGCCTGGGATTAACAGTGTGTGACACCCTGCCAACTGTATCACCAGAGTTCCTTCACTTAGCACAATGTTTTCAAGATTCATCTATGTTGTAACATGGATTAGAACTTCATTTCTTTTTACAGTTAAATAATGTCCTATTGCATGGATATATCACTACATTTTATTTATCCATTCACCCATGAATGGACATTTGATCCCCCCCCGCCACACACACACACTTTGGAGCTGTTATGAATAATGCTATTGTGAATATTCATGTACAAATTTTGCTTTTTAAAAACTTCATATAAATGGAACACTATAGAATGTGGCCAGGAGAGGCTATTCCTTGGAGAAGGACATTATGCTTGGAAAAGGTGGAAGGACAGCAAAGGAGGCAGACCCTCAATCAGGTGGATTGACACAGTGACTGTAGCAATGGGCTTGAGTGTGTCAGAGATTGTGAGGATGGCACAGGCTTCAGATTCGACATTGATAGGGTAGCTATGAGTCGTGATTAATTCAATGGCACCTAACAACAACATAGAACGTAACTCTTTTTCGGTCTAATTTCTTAAATTTTGATCTGTGAAGGTAATTTGTTTTATTGCAGTTTTATTTGTGGTTTTTCACTGCTGCATAGTTATCACATCTTATTGTGAATCATTGCTCATATATATCTGAATGGATATATGAACATTTTATAACCAGAGCTCTGGTGGCTTAATGGTAAAGAGCTGTGCTGTCAACCCAAAGACACATAGTTTGATCCCACCAGTGCTCCATGGGAGAAAGATGGGCGATCTTTCATGTGATTTAGTGCCTCTGAAAACTGACTGGAGGGTCAGCTATGAGTCTGTTCCAACTCAATGGCATAGAACCACCACCACAACTATTTATAGGCATCTGGATTCGTTTCAGTTTTATTTTGTGTTTGTTTTTTTTTTTTTAGTAGTATGTCTAACCTTGTTCTTATTCTTGATTTCAGCATGCATTTGTTTTCACTAGATTGAAAACAAATCATTAGGGAGCTCTGGTGGCCTAGTGGCAAGAAGCTGCACTGCAATCCTGAAGGCGCGCAGTTCGAATCCACCAGCTGCTCCACAGGAGAGGGATGGACACCTTCCTCCCACGGTATTAACTGCCTGAAAACTCACCGGAGGGTCAGCTATGGGTCAGTTATGACTTGACAGTACACAACAACAACAACAACAACAACAGCAAAATGAATCATTATTTCTCTATCGGGTCTGAAATTTCCTCAAAGCCACTGGAAGAGATTTTTTTTTAATTCTGCATAACAAGTTTTATTTTTTTTAAAGGCATATATAGACTATAAAAAAGTAAACATTTAATCATATCTTAACTTCTGTCAAATACTAGTTGTTCTAGAAATTGTTCCATTAAATTTAAAGTGTTTTAAGTTCAATAATCATCATCTTCATCAGAGTCCATTACTTTTCTTCTGTTGAATGTAACTGTTGCTTTCTGTTTGTTGGCTTACTTTTTCAAGGATTTCTATTAAACCTTGTTCTGATACCTTCCCGCTTAGCTGTCCATATCTTGCCATTTGTATAAGGTAATTCTCTACTGTTTTACTTTTTTCAAGCTTTACGAGTGCTAAGTTACTTAACCTGGCCCAGGCTGACTGATCCAAAACCTGGGCTAAGATACTGTTCCTCATTTCTGCTTCCCTGTTGAGCTGCATCACCAGGATCCCCGTGCTTCGCCTGCAGTTCGGCCAGCCTCTGCTTCCGCAGTGCCTCCAGCTCCTCGTCCGCCATGGCCCCGCACTCCGGGCCAAGCAGCCCGGCCGACTCACTGACCACCACCACCTCTCAGGGAGTCGCGAGCACGGCCCTCCTCACTCTGGAGGAGATTCTTAATTAAGTCCAGGACACTATACCCAGAAGGACCCCATCAAGGTCCATGATACTCAGAGACACTGGTTGCGTCAGTCCTCACAGCCCTTCCCAGTGGGCTCCACAGGCCCACCTGGCAGCTCTCCTTACCTTCGCGAGCTGTGTACTCGTTGTCTTCAATGATCCGGGCCAGGCCGAAGTCAGCGATCTTACACACCAGGGTGGCAGAGACCAGGATGTTGGCAGCACGAAGGTCTCGATGGATGTAGTTCCTCTGCTCGATGAACGCCATGCCCTCTGCAATCTCCACCCAAAACAGAGGCACCCATGTCCTCACACTCGGCCCGGCCCAAGCCCGGCCCACCCAAGGCAGAAGAGGAGCGTCCGAGCGTGAGAAAACTGGAAATTCTGAGTGAACGCTTCCTCTTTTCTGTCACTGGGCCCTGGGCTCAGGCTGGCGTGTCTCTGTTTACCCTCCCACGTCTTGTGTTCTGGGAAGATGCTCAGGGCTGGGTAAGTGTGGAGGTTTCTCAGTAGTTCTAAGACTTCCAAGGACAAGTTCAAGGTTCTCAAGGGAGAGGTAATAGATCATTTCTCTTAAGTTTACTGGAAAGAGCAAGAATAATTTCTCTTTCTCATGCGCGCGCGCACACACACACACACACACACACACACACACACACTCTTAAATCTTGTAATCTTTAACTTAAATATACTTAGTCTTAGGCACACATATAATCTTAAATATACTATACTATAAGCAGCAACTCCCTCATCAAACAATATTATTATGGAACGTGATGTAAAGAAGCCAGGCTTGTCAAAAATGGTTGCAGAGGGATTGACGATAAACACTGGAACTTTCTGTGCAAAACGTCCCACACCTATGTCTGAGCACTGACTTCAAAAAATAAACAAAAATAAACTTGTAGCTAGAGATGGCTATGCAGCAGCTTCTGTGTGTGTGCCTTGTCCAGGAAAATGGGAAGATCATAAATTGGCATCTCTCTCAATATATAATTACTTTAAATTATATGACTTTAAATATATTATAAATCAATCTTACATATACTATAAATTGTATACTCATACACATACCCCTACCCCCCCTCGAGTACACTATATACTATGAAGAGTTTTCATCTCTAAGCCCCTTTCCAAAAATAACCTAGGCTTGTATCATATTCTGCTATCTCTCTTATACTTTCTCCATTCCTAATTCTGGGGAGAGAAAATTCATTAATTAATTCAGCAAATAGCTACTGAACATCTTGCAGGCACCAGAGATGCCACCTGAACCAGAGCTTGAAGCAAAGAGCCAGGCAACCCTACAGAGGTGCTTGGTATCACACAGAGGGGAAAAAAAAGAAAGCAAGGTAATGAGACTCGCTTGAAAGCAGGGGTGGCATCCACTTCCTAAACAACATGCTTCTGGAAACTCTATGAACTTTGATAAATGACAATAGTTAATAGAAAGACTTCAAGACTTTTGTTCATAGGGTCGCTATGAGTCATGATCAACTCAATGGCAATCAACAACAACAACAACAACAACAACAACGAGACATGAAGTACAGAGGGCTCTTTTGAAAGGAGTCTCATAAAGTCTTTGAGGAGGTGAAATTTTAGCGAAGATGGGTGCTCATATTGACATTTCAGGCAGAGTGTACATCACGTGCAAAGGCCCTGTGGTGAGGATGGGCATGAGGTGCCAGGAGGCCAGAGTGGCTGAGTAGAGAAGACCACAGGGAGAATAGTGGGAGGTGAGGTTGAGGAGGCAGGGTTGAGACACTGGGCCCTGTAGGCCCAGACAAGAGGTTGCATTTTATTCTTAGCACAATGGAGGAGGGGCATTAAAAGACTCTGAGCTGGAATGTGACGTGATCTGATGTTGGGTTTTGAGCATGATGGCTGCCAAACGGATCAACAGACTATGTAGAGGCTGCTTATCCACTAAAGGGCCTGGGGAGATTTGATGGAGAGAAAACTTGCGATCGTGCCTTGGAGAGATTTTTACTTACAAGGGTTTAGACAAAAAGAGATTTCAGATGAACCCTCAGAGAGCCATCAGAGTTTACAAATTGGCCTGTGAGCCCCCTCAGTCTGTGTTAGTATGAACCCCACTTTACAGAGGAGAGGGCAGTTGTTTGGGATCACACTACCATCATGATGCTAAGAGTCGAGTTCTGATTGATTGGTCTTCAGGGTCCAAATCCCTTGCTGTCTCTAAATGAGCCGAAATTGTACTGTTCTAGGGGAGTGCGAAGGGAGCTCTGGTGGCCTAGTGGCAAGGAGCTGTCCTGCAATTCTGAAGGCACGTGCTTGAGGCCACCAGCCATGTGGTGAGAGGACGGGCAACCTCCTCCGTTGTGATTAACTGCTTCCAAAAACCCACCAGAAGGTCAGCTACAGGTCAGTGCCGACTTGATGGTACACAAGAACAACAAAAACAGAAACCAAGAGTGTGAGTGGGT